GCCGTGACGAGCGCATTCACGCGCGACGTCCCTTCGGCGACCTCCTCCATCGCCTTTGCTGCTCCGCTGTTGCGCCACGTGTCTGCGGGCGTCCCTCTCGTTGCCAACTCTTTCCCGACCTTCTGCCCGCTGCAGGGGTCCAGTTGTCGGTGCTTCGACATTCCTTCTTTGCGTTCTGCGTTAGCAAGTGGCCGCCGTGGTCTGCGCTCAGCCCTTGTCGAATAGTCGCATCGTCGTGCACGCTTCCCCATCGTTGAAGAACTGCGCCTCGTCTAAGAATTGTGCCCCGTCAGAGAGCTGCGCAATCGTGTTCGCTGTGCCCTCGTCAAGGTAAAGTGGTTTTCTGCCTGCCCGCGTGTCAATCGTCGCACATGCTTGCCGGTGCATGGGAGCAGCCACATCGTGCCACGTGTCACAAGTTGTGGGGACGGCGGGAACGGATGTCGATGACATTGGGGCACATGGTTTCCGTATGCCCTTTTGCTTCCCACTCGTTCGTTCCTCACGAGCGGCCCCATGACTCTTGCTCACCACCATCATCATTATCATCATCATCATCGTCATCATCATCATCATCATCGTCGTCATCATCATCATCATCATCGGCATCATCCTCATCGTCAACGTCATCGTCATCGTCATCATCATCATCATCAACACCATCATCATCGTCATGTTCATCATCATCCTCATCATCATCAACAACATCATCAACATCATCGTCATCATCATCATCGACATCGTCGTAATCATCAACATCGCCACCGTCCTCGTTATCATCATTATCTGCATCGCAATCGGCATCATCATCATCTTCATCAACACCCCGATGATAATCACGTCGTGGCACACGGTTACTGTGTTCCCTTCTGCGTCCCTCTCGCTCGTTCCACGCGATCGCCCCCATCATTCCTGCTTGGGTTGGCGATGGGCCAGATGGTTTTTGTATTTCCTTCTCTTTTCACTCCATCGTTCCTCGCGACAGGCCCCATGATTCCTGCGTCGCTTGGCATTGGAGATGAGCCAACTGAACATTGCGAAACACTCCTACGTGGTTGCCAAGTTCGAACATTGCAAAACACTCCTGCGTGGTGGAGGCAAACACGAAATCGCCTTTTTCCAGCAGAACACGAGATCCCGTCGACAAGCGTTCCTCGCACGTTTGCTTTTCTCATCAACAGTTCAGAGGTTGTTTAACACAAAGGAGATGCATCGGACTGCAAACCCACGACTGATGGTTTGAATCCCTCGCAGGACAGACAGTGGTCGCGGCGGGAGTGCTGAACGAGTAGCTGGCTCCACATGGGCTGCGTGCCACCAGGGTTGGTATTAAGCATCGCGCGGTGGCCACCGTGCGAAGGATGTCCGACGTCCACGTGGCGTGCAGTGAGAGGGATGGTGTTCATCAATAGGAGGGGGTCGTCGTTTCGTTTTCATGTTCTTGTCACAACACCTGTGCCTCCTTCCCCAGAGAGACTATGGCGTCAATCCCGGGAGAGCTGCTGTCGTCTCCACCCCGAGCACACAACATGCACATGATCCGCCATAGAGGCCACGGATGCTGAGCGCGCGTGCCTGGCGCAGGTCATTAGGACGCGACAGCACATTGCGCACGACAGACGCCAGTGCTGTGCGCGCAACGTCCGCGGGATCCAGGACGAAGAATGCGCACGTTGCGTGCGCGCAATGGAGAACGACAACATCGCTCGCTGCACTGACAATGCCGTTTCTTCGGCGTGAGCGCCGCATGTTTCGTGACGAGAACCTCAACACGAAAAAATGACCTCGTTCAATAACGAACAACCCGGCCGCCTAAGGGACACGTCTTACTCGTCGGGGAACGGGGGGTCGCCGTTGTGACTGCAGGGGCGAAACCAACAACCGGCAAACATAAAAAGTCGAGTCGCGTGTCATTGCCTGGCGAGATGGGAAGTTCGAATGCTGGCGAACTACAACAATCATGCGCAGTGCTCTCACGGAAGTGGCATTGTGTTACCGTCGCGCGGCCGTTGGGAGAGCAAGCGCCTCTGATAAAACAGCGCATGATTGTTGTAGTTCGCTGGCATCCGAAGTTCCATTTTCGCCAGGTTTTCACACGCGACTCAACGTTTATTTTTGGCCGTTGTTGCTTTCGCGTCCCAGTCATAATGCCGTTCCCGGTTGCCTTGATGACTATCTTTTGCGAGAAATTTTCCAGCTTTAGGGCGTGGGGTCGATAGTTCGGAACGCCCTGCCAGTTGTCACCGTGCGAGGGCGACAACACGAAGTTCGGATCCCGACAGACTTGCGATATGAAGCATGCAAAGTCGTGAGCTGCTCGCATGGTCATTGTTGTTTCGACCGCATCGCTGAAATCACACGCTTACGGTTTGCAAGGATCTTTACGGAGTCCTGGGTACATGACTGTTCTTTGGGTGGCGTTCCTGCCAAAAAAACAGTCCTGTCACCGGGACCCCAGCAACTCGTCATCCAATCAGCCCGTCCAATATGCGACTTGCCGCGAAGAAACCCATTCCTCTCTATTCCGGCGGCCGCCAAGTTCGGATCTCACCGGACTTCGAGGTTCGACTAGAATCTAACCGGCCATTTCCGATGGCCTGGCCTTTCGCATGTGTTGTGGTCGCATTATTCACTGCATCGCCGCACAAGCTCGCTTTGTCGGTGGGGAGAATCGGCGTCTATGGGGGTCTATTGGGGGCCGTGCTGCGCCGATTTCTGACGTGGTGCACCTACGACTACCATTTCTGTTGTATTTCTGTTGTGCGTGCTCTCGTCGAACAGACACTTGCGAACAGCAGCAGGGCCTCCCTGACCAGGCACACACGCATAGCGTTCCTTCTGTGCACTTCAACACCCATCCTCGAGATAACCGACATCCCCCGCACAAACCGATTCCTCGCCAGTCCAGCAAACGCCAAGTTCGGATCCCGGCGGACTTTGAGATCCCGCGAAAAATTCAACCGCCCGTTACGATGGCCTCGACTATCGCGTGTTATCAGATTATCAGAGGCCTTTGGGTGCGCAAAATTGCTCGCGTTACGTAGACATCGGCGTTCGTCGCACTCCGGACTTGCAAGCGATCGTATTCCCGCGCTGGTTCAAACAAATTTCATGCCACAGAAATCCGTAGTGAGAATCGGTGTTTATAGGGGTCAGTTTGGGGTCGCGCTGCGCCGAATTGTGTGGTGGTGCATCCACCATTACCCTTTGTTTTGCGCGTGCTATCGTAGAACAAAAACTTGAGGGCGGCAGAGCCTTCCTTCTGTGCGCCCAGACATAGCGTTCCTTGTGTGCACCCGCTGGCGCTCCCTTCTGCTAGCACCGGTCGCGCGAAAACTGGTTTCTGGCGACTCCAACACCCGCCAAATTCGGATCTTGACGAACTTTGAGGCTCCGCGTAAATCTGACCGTTGTTTTCAACAGCTTCAACTTCCCCGTTTGTCTTCAATGTCGGCGGCCTTGTAGTGCGCAAAAGTGCTCGCCTTGTGAATGACCCTAAAAGGGGTTTATTGGGGTTGACGACGGTGTTGGTGGCCGGGTCGATTACCTTTATGCCGTCGATCATCGTTTCCCTCCAACAAAAGTCATTCTAAATTTTTCGTGTCTGCGCTGTGTACATGTCCGAGTTCGACAACCTCTTGAGCTAGTACATGTGATTAGAAGGTGTTGATAATCGGTGTTTATAGGGGTCAGTTTGGGGTCGCGCTGCGCCGAATTGAGTGGTGGTGCATCCACCATTACCCTTTGTTCTGCGCATGCTATCGTACAACGAAAACTTGAGAGCGGCAGAGCCTTCCTTTTGTGCGCCCAGACATAGCGTTCCTTATGTGCACCCGCTGGCGCTCCCTTCCACAAGCACTGGCCGCGCGAAAACAGGTTCCTGGCTACTCCATCTCCCGCCAAATTCGGATCCCGGCAGACTTTGAGGCTACGAGTAAATTTGACTGTTATTTTCAACAGCTTCGACTTCCCCGTCCCTCTTCAATGCCGGCAGCCTAGTAGTGAGCGAAAGTGCTCCCTTTCGAAATTGCCCTAAAAGGGGTTAATTGGGATTGACGACGGTGTCAGAGGCCGGGTCCATTTCCTGTGTGCCGTCAATCTTCGTTGCCCTCCAATAAAAGCAATTCTAAAGTTTTCGTGTCCGCGCAGTGTACATGTCCGAGTTCGACAACCTCTTGTGCCCGTACATCTGATTAGAAGGTGGTGAGAATCGGTGTTTATAGGGGTCAGTTTGGGTCGCGCTGCGCCGAACTGTGTGGTGGTGCATCCACCAATACCCTTTGTTCTGCACGTGCTATCGTACTACAACGAAAACTTGAGAGCGACTGAGCCTTCCTTGTGTCCTCCCAGACATAGCGTTCCTTATGTGCACCCGCTGGCGCTCCCTTCCACTGGCACCGGCCGCGCGGAAACAGGGTCCTGGCTACTCCAACACCCGCCAAATTCGGATCCCGACGGACTTTGAGGCTCCGCGTAAATCTGACCGTTATTTTCAACAGCTTCGACTTCCCCGTCCGTCTTCAATGTTGGCGGCCTGGTAGTGCGCAAAACTGCTCGCCTTTGAAATTACCTTAAAAGGGGTTTATTGGGGTTGACGACGGTGTCAGTGGTCAGGTCCATTTCCTGTATGCCGTCGATCTTCGTTGCCCTCCAATAAAAGCCATTCTAGTTGATTCGTATCTGCGCAGTGTACATGTCCGAGTTCGACAACCTCTTGTGCTAGTACATCTGATTACACGGTGGTGAGAATCGGTGTTTATAGGGGTCAGTTTGGGGTCGCGTTGCGCCGAATTGTGTGGTGGTGCATCCACCATTACCCTTTGTTCTGCGCGTGCTATCGTACAATGAAAACTTGAGAGCGCCAGAGCCTTCCTTGTGTGCGCCCAGACATAGCGTTCCTTATGTGCACCCGTTGGCGCTCCCTTCCACTGGCACCGGCCGCGCGAAAATAGGTTTCGGGCTACTCAAGCACCCCCCAAATTCGGATCCCGGTGAACTTTGAGGCTCCGCGTAAATCTGACCGTTATTTTCAACAACTTCGACTTCCCCGTCCGTCTTCTATGACGGCGGCCTGGTAGTGTGCAAAAGTGCTCGCCTTGTGAATTACCCTAAAAGGGGTTTATTGGGGTTGACGTCGGTGTCAGTGGACGGGTTTATTTTCTGTATGCCATCGATCTTCGTTGCCCTCCAATAAAAGCCAACATCACGATAAGTGTGGTTTAGTTGCTGTCATGCTTCTTCCACGGCGTGCTTTGCGGTTCGCCCAGTCGGGTGTCGACATTACGAAGACGCTTCAATATCGAAGCCGCGCGGGCTGCAAAGGCTTTGAGTCCCGGCGCACAACCTTCGAATCGACGTGCAGTTAATCGGGGTTTGCAGGGGTCGGCTGAGGGTCATTGAGCCATGTTTTTTTTTGTTTCCTGCCTATCATAGCCTTGCATTCGTTATGACGATTGGCCGACAGTCAGTTCACGGCGACCCGTTGATAACCGGTTAGCCGTCGATTCCATTTCTGTGAAGTTCGGATCCCGACGGACTTCTGTGGTCTGCGACTGTTCGACCGTCCATTGTGCACGTCTAACTCCTGATAGGACACGTCCTACTGGGCGCAACATACAAACAGAAATGTGTCGACAAATTAACAACATAGATTCACGCCTGGTCGGTGGAGTGTCCGGCCCATAACCAAATATCACCGACCACATGAAGGCAGCGCGAGGTAGACATCTATCAATGTGGGCCGCATTACAGGCTTCCTCATAAACACTGGCCATGCATGAGTTCACAAACTATCAAAGCGATGGCATGTTATATGCTGTCCATACTCGCCTGGCCGTCGGCGTTGTCGAGGGTCTCATTCGACACTCAAGTGTCGGCTGACACGCACCTTGAGGGACTTGCCTCTCGACGCTAAACAACCGCCAAGACGGTTGCGTTACCTACCCTCTTCAGCTACCTGCGGGAGCGACGGG